CCCCTAATATTTTACCTTACATAATATTGAATGAAGTATGACCCCTTTGTGTTTCTTAATCTATGTTTTAAGCTTTTGAACACCATAAATTACTGATTCTTATAGGTTTCTTTCTCTTTTTCATCAATTATGCTTAATTTAAGTGGCTCACAAGTTTCTTGATGCCATCAATCAGGATTTTTGACACCAGAACTGATATTTCCATAAAATGTAAGCCATATTTCATCCCACCTTAATTGTTTCCCAATCTTTACTCAGTTACAGATATTTTGTTGACATGTATAGAGTTAGTTTTTCCATGACCTCACCCAGGGCAGATGTTTTTATGTGGAGCGTTTTTGAATCAGAATCAGAAATACTTTAATAATTACTTTTGTTACATGCTCCAGATACAGTTTTATATATACACACATATATACAACAAACCATACAAGCTAATAAAGATATAAATAATAACTCTTCTGTATATATATAACTAAATCCAAGTAAAGTGATTTACTGAGCTTCTGTGCTAATGCTAGAATATTTAATCTGTTTTATCATGACCGATTACATAGCCTCATTATGAATTACATTACAGTTCTGTTTTTTAATGAACAGAGCTTATATAAAAACTGTTATCCCGGGCAAACTTAGGATTTTCTTTTTGTGTGTTTCAAATTTGCTGACTAGATTTTCAGTTTTCCTTTAAAGATCAAGCTGAATCACCAGTGTTACCAGGGACTACTTATGTGTCTCTTTCTTAAAAATTTTAGCTTTTTTTTTCTTGTGTAATTTGAAACTTCTAGAAAGTGTGATATGAATGTGATATAAAAATAAAGTTAAGTCTAAATCTAAGTCTGAAACCATGCATTGTTCTTACAACAAATAATATCTTAATCTCTTTGGAGTAGTTTCTTGACATCCCTAAGCCTATATATAAATTTCAGAAATTATTAATTTATCTACTTATAAAGCATATTATAACCTACAAATAAGGAGACTAAAGCTAAAGGAAATATAATGAAAAAAAATAATGAAAACAAAAAGGTAATATTCATGATGCATACTTTTATTATACTTCTTTTTATCCTTCTCTCTTTACCTCTCTCTCCTACAATGAGCAGAACAATTGTGCACACATGACTAATTATTCTAATTAGAGCATGGCATCATTCAGCGACCTCTGCAACTTTAGGACAGCAACACAAATTCTTAGTGAGGAGTTGACACACTGCACTGCTCATACAGCAAGTCACATGACATGGAGACTTATGAAAAGATCATCAAAGCCAGAGTCATTAGGCCAGAAAAGAAATGGAGATCCCTTAATACAATCATTTATGCTGGGCATTATAAATGCTCCTAAAATACCAGGCTGATGGTGGTTTTGTAGGTCTTCAAGCTCTTTAGTGTCCTCATTCTCTTTTATTGCAGCGTTGCTTCATCTGCTAGCTTACAATATGCGCCTAGCATAATCCTGAAAAAACAAGCATTTTTAAAACTATCACTAAATATTGCAATAGCACTATTGATTACAATTAAACTTTTTAATCATTAATTAATCACGATAGTCCTAGTACTACTACCAGCCTCTAAGCTATTAACCCGTTAAGCCCAGCGGGCCTGGTACCGGGCCCAGCTGACACCAGCTGATGTTTATCATTTTATAGAAATGGACAAAACACATTCACATGGTGTTTCATCCACACGCCTTTCAAATGGGGCTTTAACATTTATACAAAATGTTACAAAATTATTTTTTCACATATACTTTTTGATTTATATCGGTGTAAACAAATAAAATGGGATTTAAATTCCACCTGAAAAGATTGACTCTGCGGGAGTAATGCAACAGCAGCTATTAATTTTTAGCCACACCCCCTAATGGCCAGCATCAATGGAAACTAGAGGCTCAGACCTTTCCAAGGAGGAGTAGGAGGTAATTGTGCGACTTTTTCAGGTGAAGTCACCGGCATGCATTACATAATATTGCTCTGTTATTCTTATTTTCTACTCACTTTGGTTAATATTACTGTGTGTTAAATGGTAAAGTCCCATCAAACAATGGATAAATCTTAGGAGCAAAGGCTTTGCCTTATGCAGAAGGTCTACAAATATGTAAATCAGAATATTTTTCTGGCCAGATTCCTTTTTATGAGTGGAAAAATGCCTTTTTACATAATTTGGCCAATTTTGGCACTGTGCAAAAAACCATTTTATCGCTTAGCATACTGCCCACTAAATCCTTTGTGGAACCAACATGCTTCAACTTTAGTCAAGATGAGGATCTCTAAAGTCTGAGGGTTTAACCAGAGTTTCAAATGGTGTTTTGCAGTGGTTATTTTGGAAAAAAAAAATTTGGCAGGGCTAAATTTGTTTGAATTTTTTCTCTGTTTGACCACCTATAAATCAGACATGATGACATTTAAAATACTGGTTCCACCTTAAAGATACTCCTCAATGCCTTTTTTTTATACGAACAATTGTTTTTCCAATTTAAAGTTTGGGAGCTGTACTTGCGATAATTCACATACTTCATTTCAGGCAGAATTTGCACCTAAGACCCTCGTTGCTTAAGGGGTTAAAAGTGCATATCAACTGTGGGTTTCAAAGAGAATCAGTCTGCCCTTTTCTCCAAAACTATATTAGACATTTATTATACGTGTCGTTAAACAAACATCATCCTAAAAAACTAGCATATCCAAGCATTCCTTTGTGATTCCAGTATCACATACACTGATAGTGCGAAGAAGACTGCAATGCAATATTTTGTGCAGCTCTGTCTGCCATATAGTTGTGCTGCATGTCTAAAAGTTTAGACCACTCAGGTCTGTGCTGCACTAAAGCAGATATACAGAACATTTTCAGAACAAATATACATGCAATTATACCTCTGTCGCACATTGGGATAAGAAAAGCAGAAGCAGTCTTAGGAAATAAATTGAACTGTCACTTGTTAAATGTACAACCAGATAAAAAAAAAAGTCGATTATGAAGAGATTTTATTTGAGTTCTCCTAAAACTGTAAAGTTTCATTTTCTTAATAATATAATCTTCCCTGCTTATTTAACTCTATTGTATGCATCGAATACACCTAAAGAGTATTAGCCACACAATCCTGTAGAGTACATACAAAACAGCTGAACTTTGAGAGATTAAAAGATTGCACATCATCAGTAGTCCTGTTCCTATTTTCAGTTCAAAGATGGGATGTGAAGCATTTTATTTTCCGTCTTGTCAAATTCTTTTTTGAAGGGAGTGCTTGATTTGCTCTACCTGTCCCATTTCTTTTCCACCTGGTTTCACTCTCCAGAGATTTTTGATTTCAAGCCTTTATCTTTGAATTCGCAACCGTGCCTTTTAGTGCTTCATAGCACCTTGCTGGTGTTGTCTGTCTCCAGAGATACTTCATACAGTCGCAATATTAATCATTCCCTCAAGACATGTTTCACAGGTGGGCTCTCAGATCACTGCAAGTGGCAGGTGATTCTGTCTTTGCATTTTAAATCAAATGATATGACATATTTCAATATCACAGCAATGATGTCTCTTATCACAGAAGTGACATTCCTCTCATTGAAGTCTGTTTAATGATCAAGCTGCACAGAAGGAAATGTAAGGGTTTTAGAGAGAGGCCAATGTGACTTTTTTCATGTTTTTTTTTTCATGTTTGTTTGTTTTTGTGTCGAGGCTCAGCAGTTGGTGTTTCACATTCAAGCTGCGTCGTATCCCTGCTGCCGGCGTCTGTGGCAGAGTGAAGCCTGAGGTGCCTCCTCGGAGGACCGTGCCCTCGTTACTCCTCAGCTTGACTTTGGGTTTCACAAAGCGAGCCCTTTGTTTACGCTGACAGGATGTGCTGGCTACTGACCTGGAAAAAGTGGCTAAGACGGGCTGTCTTGTAAGGAAGAGGGAGGCTGGTGATGTATGGGCTCCTTCTGGGACCTTTCATAGTACCGCTGTTGAAGACACCCAACAATCCCTCTCCCCGCTCGTCGTCTCCGTACTCTCTTCCTCTTATCCCTTTATCCATCTCTGTTCCGGGCTCCAGTTTGCGCTCTACGCTCGAGCCCATCTAGTCAGCAGCGGTTTTGGATGAATCTCCCCACGCCACGTTTTCCCCCTGCCTAGCCGCCGGGGTCATACATCATTATTGTCAAAGGGGTAATGTGTGTGGGTGGGTGAAGAGATCTATGACTTCTTCATTTGAATGAACCTCATTAGATTGACTCTTCTTTGTAAAGGATCCCTTTAGAAAATAACTCTGGCAGTTATTTAGGTGATTCTCACATGATAGCCAATGGAACATGACGTTTCAGCCAAGCATGTTTGCTCGTAGGATTGAAGACTCTCTGTGATGCAGTCTGCAGCTTATTTCTTTTACTATTCTGCCCTGCCATGCCTACATTTACATAGCAATGGAGTGTAAGACCTTGAGGTTGACTTATGGTGCCCACATATTGTCAGTATGATGCAATCTGTTTCTCTAAAGTGACTCTTTTGCTTGTGTACAATGATGAATGTTCTGTTTTACAGCCTGAGAATGGATTAAATCAAATATATTTAATCCTTTCAAACATATTTTCCATTTAAATTAGAAAAAAAATAGTCTTTGAGCATTAGCACTATATTTATATTACCTATTTCTCATTTACTATAAGAATTCTAGCTTTATTAAGAAAATAGTCCAAAATGTTATTCCAGCTCGATCAGTGAAGCACACAGAAGTTTGGTTTCCTTATTAGAGCAGATTCTTGTCAGGGCATCTTTAATCAGCCTGTTCCCAAGGGATGGTATTTTTAGCCACCTTTTTTGGAGGCTAAGACTTTGCCCACGCAGAGCACTAATGAGATGGAGCACAAGTGTAGGCAAGCGTTAATTAAGGCTAGTATGCAAAAGGAAGAAGGCAAAAGCAGCACGCCCATGGCATACATACATTAACTTTATTCCTCCTCCTTCATGCTTTTTTTTTCTCTCTTTCTCTCCTTGTTTTTTCCCCTCCTGTTTTTTTTCCCACATAGGTTGCAAAAACAACAGATGGCTCCGACGCCGACCTGTGGAAGGACGGCTTATTCAAATCCAAGGTCACTCGCTACCTTTGCTTCTCCAGGAAAACTGTAAGCGAGCAAACTTCTCTCCTTCCTTATTCAGAAGAGCTTCTGTTTTCCCGCCGGTTATTAGCCCACCTTTCTGCTAGTGGAATATCTTTATGCACTTTGCACTTTGATCAGTGAAAGTCCCCCTTAAAAAAAGGCCTGCTTTGGCAGCACAGTTTTGAAGTTTTTACATATAATGGATTTGCATGCATATTTGAAATGAATATTACCGTAGAGAGATATTTTATCCTGTTTTATGCCCTCCTGAGGATATTATTTATGTTTATTCATGAAATAACAATGAGCTGCATTTTAACTATTCCAATTTATTCAATCAACTCTATCCCTGTGGAGACTATTGTTACCAGACTATGATTCTTGAAAGATGTTTTACAAGCAGTTGTGCTCGAACTAATAGTTGTGTATGTAAGAACTGAAGAAAGCTCAAAATCCAAATAACAGGTTTTATTCAAAAACATAGAAATTCATTATGAAATATAGAACTTTCTATATCAGACATGAAGGAAAAAGTTTTTGGTCTGGGGATCAATAAAAAAAAAGTGAGAATAAGGAAATACTTTGCTGTGCGTTGCAGTGTTTGGGACTTTCCATTCAAATACTATATAAATTAAAAAAATAATTTTGCTGTCGAAGAGATCCCTTTTTTTTACATTATTATTCTGAAGAACTACTTACCATCTAAGCAGTGGGAAGTCCACCCACTTCAGGCACCTGTAAGTAGGTTTTCTGTCCCAGGATAAAACATTTCTGATCAAACTTTACAAGTTTTTAAATAGGATTAAGGTGCAGACATTGGGATGGCCACTCTAGTCTGTTTCTTCTTCACCTAAATGTAACACAATATTTTCAAGCATGTTGATGTATTAGAGCATATCCTATGGGGAGCGGTGGCCTAGTGGTTAGGGCATAGAGCTTGGAATCCTAAGGTTCTGAGATTGAGCCCCACTCCTACAGACTCTGGGTCTCTGAGCAAGAACCTTAACCCCAGATTGCTCCCTGGGCGCCCCACAATGGCAGCCCCTGCTACCACTGCTCTCCAAGGTATGCAGAGGTAAATTTATCCAATGTAAGATCAATAAAATTTTATTATTGTTATCATTATTATTGAAATATTCATACTAACACGATCAGAAATATTCTGATACCATAATAACTGAACTAGAATGCTTTACACCATGTGACTTGAAAGTAGTTTTTGAAGGTTATCTGCCAAGCTGTCTGCTGTTCCTTGACCAAAAAAGAGCTATTTTATTTTATTCAGCATTATATTATAACATGTCTCTTAAGGCCAGTCATTTTGGTCTTTGGTCAGTTGTAAAATCCAGAGGTGGTTAGTAACTATGCTGCAAAAACGATCTAGAAATTAGCAAATATGTCTTAAATTAAGTATATTTACCATTAATTTGAATAGGTTAATAAGATAATTTGCCAATGGAATAAGTATTTTTACTATTAAAATAAGATAGTTAGATAATATGCACTTTAAATAAGACAAGGCAATTGTTTTTTCTTATTTTAAATGTAAATTGTCTTATTCCATTGGCAAAGTGTCTCCCCTCCTCAATTCAAGAACAAAATTCACTTATTGAAAAGAAAAAAATGACTTATTTGATTCAAATTTTTTGCAGAGTAATATGTTTCCGTTTCCTAATAAACTTTAATTTTGACATATGATGTATATTATGTTGGATTGCTTTACTTTGAAGACAACCTTAGAAATTAAATGTGAATATTATTATTATTTTCATTTATTTTATTATTATTATTATTTTTTTTTTTGGAGTGTGAGATTCTACTGGAAAAAAGCAATTTCAGCGTTGTAAAGACCATATATAGAATTCCCAATTTCAGCAGCCATGACTCCTCTGTGTCTAAAATAATCTTTACATTACATTTCCACATAATGCAGTTGGGTCATTTTTAGACCCTTCGCTTGCCTGCAGTCAAGAGTTAATGTGTTTCTGCTTGGCTGTCAGCTGCTCTGTGACCATAAATACACCTGCTTACTGCGCCATAGCCACCAGCCTGTCTAACCCCAGCTCATACCATTGGCTGTCTACTAATTAAGTTTTCCTGGCTTGCAGGTGGATAATGCAGACAGGATTGTAAACAAAAGCTGAATTTTTGTTATTACTTTGCATCAGCTCAATTTTAGGACTTAATCAAGTCATATTTTTTTCTGTATGTCCTCTAAAAGCCAGGCGACCTGGCAGGCTGAGCACAATTTGGCCCCCAGTTTAGTATATAGCATGCAAATGGCCTTTCCCGAGTTCCTGCGTATTATCTTAAAATGTCCGTCCACATTGTTTTAAAGACTTTGACGCAAATAAAACATGACAGAACCATCAACAAAAGCTATTTTGTCTGCCAGTCATTGGAACTCCCACTGTAATTGTCTATGACAAAAACAGATTCTGTAAAATTAGCCCCTGAATTATTCGGAGGGGGAGGTAAATAGTTTGTGATTTATCATACTCTAGGTTGAAGGTAGATAGCCTTCTTTTGTCAGGTTGTGATGGGAAAAAATATCTCTGGAAAAAAGAGGGAAAAAAAAAAAAAAAAAAAAAGCTTCATGCATTATTATAACATTCATCCATATTCCTCCTTATGTCAGTGTAAAAACTATGAATAAAAAATGCCTCTAATGGTAATGACAGTCGAGCAGCAGTGAGAGTGTAATCCAGGCATTTTGGACGCATCAAGTCACGCCTGGCTCGCTCCACTCCTTGCTGCCGCTGTGTATTATTGCAATTTATTATGGCAAAAAAAATGTAATGGGAGGCAGGGAAGAGTCATGCTTGAAAATGTCAACTACACAGTCCCTGATTATTTTTAACTAGTCCAATTCTGTTGATCAGACCGCTTACTCTGTCTCCCATCATTGCACAACTTATATCCCTGAAAGGTTGAAAATGATTGGAAGTTCACAGATGCTCCTCTCAGACCAAGAAAAACTGAGGAATTATTGGCTATTCTGTGAACCATTCTCTCTAGGAACTTAATTATGTTTTAATTTTTCAGTAACCCAGTTTTTATCTAAATTTTCTTATCTCTCTCCGACTCATTGACTCGATCAATATCCCTTTTGAAAAGGGAATTTTCATTAGTGCAAATGTTTGTTTTTTGTTGGTTGTACTGCCTTCTTTTTGTTTGTAGGAGCCTGAGGTCGTTGTGGATATGAAGCTGATCGACTTCAAGGACCCGCTGCCAGAGTCCTTCACACCGGTGCAAGAAACATTAGACAAAAGTAAATAAAGTCAATACTAACCACAGGCATGCTCCTCTCCTCATGTTTTTTTTTTTTTTTTCGCCCTCTCCAACCAGCTTATGCGGGGGGTCCTTAGGGGCAACTTTGTTTGAGATAGTAAATGTTTTATGGGTGCAGGTTAGCTTAATTTATGGCAGACTGTGAGAATAAAATAAACATTTTGCCCTAGAGGTACAAGAGAGGAGAATCATGAGTCATTGTTTATCTCAGCTGGAGCTGGGCTTCTCTTTATGAGGGGCTTATTTATTTATGTATTTATTTGGGGAGAGGACGAGTAGATGGGGGTTATCTAATATTAATGAAATGCATTCCCCAATGCTTTAGTGGATTTTCAGTGCTACGTATTCACCCCCCCACCACCTCATCCATGCCTTGAAAATGTAATAATATTTTGGTGTGTGGAGTGAGGACAGCTTGTTTATTATTTTTATTATCGTTGCATTTACAAACCACTTCCCTGTGTTGCTGGGGAAATAAATGAGCAAGGCACAAATGCAATATAGGAAAGCACAGCTGTACTTTTTTTTTGTTTTTAGGAGAATGGTGAAAAAGGATTATGTTTTCTTTGGATGTGTTGTAATTTAATGTTTTATTACTTTACGTGAATGTTTAATGTATACATGTGGCATTATGTATGAATTTCTATCCAGAACGCCGAGTTTAAATCCCTGTCGTGCATTAAAGCTGATGGAGGATTCACTTGCATTTGTCATTCTACCTCCAGAAATGATAAAAATGATAAAAATGATAATAATGCAAGCACATTTTGCAGCTTCCCTGTGTCCAGTCAATTTCCCCTGAGCACAGCAAGTCAGGCAGAAACATAGATAAGCCAATTTTCTATTTCTAAGCTAAGCATAACGAGAACTTTTATAAATATGCAGAGGCTTGCAAAGGTATTCATTTTCACATTTACATGTTACGACCACAGACCTGCCTTTATCTTGTTGAGGTTTTATGTGACAAAGCCAAAGTTGTGCATAACTTTGATCCAAGGTAGTAAATAGACTGCATCTGTGTGCAATTTCATTCTATAATAAAGCTTACTAATTTTAGGAGTTTCTCTTCCTCTTGTTTAATACAATTCCTAAATAAATCTTGATATGTAAGGATATTAAATCTCTTTATTTCGAAACAATAACAATTAAAGCACAATAAAGGCCAAAAAACTCAGACCCGGTTCATGTTTAAAGGTTGACGTTTTAAAATGAAATGCAGGGTTAAAAAAACTGCTTTGAACATTTGATATTTAATTAAGTACCCAAAGACATTGCTGTCCATCTGAAATTACACAGTACGAATTAAAGAAGTTTCCACAGCTCAGTGGCAGCCCTGAAAGAGTTGCAGAAATCCACAGCTAAGGTGGTAGCATCCACGGACTGGGAACGATTTTCGGCCCTGGCATTTTTTTCATCTACACCGGCCCATTTATGGACCCCCGCAAGATTAACCGATCTATCTTCAAGCATCACATGGCAACCATCACCAAGACTTCTATAATGCAGTTTTACTGGCTTTGGTTATTAACACGGACGCGACAGAGACTTCTACTGCATAACATCCACACTTGCACAAAGCCAGCCAGATAACCACTCACACATGCTAGGTCTAACTTAAGCCCGAGTTTTCTAAAAACACCAACATAAAACAATACAAGATAGAGGCAGACAGCCTCAGAATGAATACATGAGAGCTCAGCGGTTCGTAAGAATTCACTGCGAGTCTAGGTGGCATGTGGGCAATGAAACGGAATAATGTAAACATCATGGCAGGGTTAACAGATGTCACTGACTCATGTTTTACGGCCCAAAACAGTTTCATAAACCGCCGGGATATACACAATCTTCCAATTTGAACCAAAGTCTATTGATCTCTTAGGCAATAAATCTAAAGAAAACATTTTTTTACTCATAGACGGTCATCCTAAACTGCCAGATTGGGAAACGTCCCTATCTGGCAGCAATGCACTTAAGACGGGAAATGTTAGCCTTTAGATGCAAAACCCCATCATGCACAGCAACATATTTTTGCAAAATATTGTAACATAAATTTGCCAAATATAAGAGAAACATCGTAGTTTGGTTTAAAGAACGCATTTTAGTTTTCTTATGATTTAGTTTACTGCAAGGATTTTACAGTTTGAAGAAATAATAAATTACACCATATGCCAATTGTCACAAGGATGTGCATGACAAGGAAGGGCTATATATATACTGCATGCATCAATTAGGTGGTTAACATTGCTTTACTTCTTGAGCTCATAGAGTTTTTTACTGTCACAGATAGGTCCTTCGGACTGAGAGTAAGTGTAAGGACCGGTATGATTTAAGGAGTGCCGGCCCTCGCACGCAGAAATTAGGACCGGCCCACCGGGCAAATGCCCGGTATCACAGATTACCAGTCCGACCCTGGGTGGGAGAATAGGAAGAGGAAAGACATTGTTAAAGGGAAACTATAAGAAACCCTACTTGCAGCAGACCTAGTTGCATGTAGCAGGCGCTTTGGTCAAAACAGAAAAAAGTTCCGACTTGGATCCAATTAATAATCGGAACATAACAGAGCCGTTTTCAATTCAATTTCAATTCAATTCAAATCTGTTTATCTGCCTATTCACAACACACATCAGCTTAAGGCACTTTCCAGAGAGTTTAATCAGATCCTACAGTTGAATGTTTAAAAGCTTTTTACCTACAGTATCTAAAATCTGCTGTTTGCATCCAGACATTGACTGCAGGATTCATTTGTCCAGGATGTGAGGAAGGTAGATATTTACATTATGTGTCACTGACTGACAGTGGAGAGGGATCTCAGCTTTAAAGAGAGGAAAATAAAATGTATCTTGTGTAATCTTTCATTAAGTTTTATACGTTGCTTGTTTTTAATATTATCTCCCTTCCCTGAAGGCGTCTATTGGATTTTTTTATTCCCATTTTCCAGCTCAGAAGACACAGAAGTGAATATACACTAGTTCCTTCCTAACACGCTCACATGTACGATGGCTTTACTCATCAGAGGAAGCTGCCATGAGGAAGAGGAGGCTGTGTGTGAAAATGAGCGCTTGTGAGGCTGCCGAGACAGCTGTATGTGACATCCAGCTCACCGCCAAATCCAAGTACCAGCTTGTTAACTACACCTGTGTGGGGTAAGCTACAAGTCAGTGGAAATGAACGAAATCAGCCACACAGTTTTCTAGCTTTTTATTTTTCCATATTTGCAAAAAATCTGATTAACCTTGTTAACTTTTGAGCAAACAACTCTTCCTCATCTTCATATTTTCACAGAGACATAAACAATATGGGACTATGGTATCGCATGGGGGACGTTCCTCAGCGTACGTCATCTCAGAAAACGAAGAGTGCTCCTAAAATTGACACCCCACACAGCACTACAAGGTACCATCACCCAATGGTGCTCTAACTTGTTGCTCAACCTCTCTACCTCTCTTTTCCTTTTTTTTTTCTCGCTTTGCATCTTCTGTACTGCTGAGCCCTTGTTCCGCCTCTCTACCATATGTACGGCAATGAGGACACAAGTAATTGATCACTACTGGGCAATCTGCCTCTGAGGGTTGTGTCTGGACTACAAGGCAGCGAGGGTGAACCGGCAAGACATTTCTAACTAGACAGGATCCCCTGAAACAACAACAGGAGTTCAATGGGGGCTAAACTTGTGCTATTTGTGGGGTGTCCCAGGAGGCAGGGGCAGGCCGCTCCTCTGACACGGTGACAGGAGGGCTGTACGTGCAAGCAGAGGAGGAGATGTGGCCCCGAGAGTTAGTGACAGCTGCAGAGGAAGGGAGGAGAGCTCTGAGAACTCCGCCATGTGGAGTACGTGCTTATGGCTTCCTCTGCCTCAGGTCTCAAGTGAACAGAGCAAACCTTTGTACTGTGTCCAGATCAAACAGCTCAATTATTTATCCCAGGCAAGAGCTGGGGATTTCCACTGCAAATTGTAAATAAACAATTTAGACTCCTTTGCTGTGGTGTTGCTTTGGAGAGAGCGGAGCTTGGCACGAGGCTGCGAGGTCTTTGCCAAACTGGAAGCGCCGTGCGCCGCCATCCTGTGCCGGGCTGAGAAGAAGCTGTTTAAAAGCAGCACCACATTTAGAGCCAGGAGGCAAATTCAAAACAGAGCTCCTGCCTGCATGCTCCTGCTGCGATTTGAGAACAACAAACGGGCAGTTTTAAAATGAAAAGCTGAAACTTTTTTTTGGGGTGATTCCACCACAATTCGATGATTGAAGTCGATGATCGATAATGTTTGATGTGGTGAAGTTACGGTGGGAGCTCAGAAAAACATGCCCCATTCACGACTCTTCCCGGTAATCCTAAACTCTTTTGAAGCCCACTTTCAAGTTTGTAAGGCTCAGAGGTTTGAATAAATTGCACCTCGAAGCGACTCACTCCCACCCCCTCCACTTCCTGATGCCTGCTGAGATCACAGGCTGCCGTTTTGGTATTAACATTAAAATTGATTTCACAGACAGAGAGTCTTCTTTTGAAAGTTTTTTTTTCCATCCGTAAAACACTGACAAATAAGGACGGGACTGTGGGCGATTCATACCACGGCATCTTTTTGACTATTCATTTCGGTGTAGTTACATGCACTTCAGACAGCGATACACATAACCATAAATAGCTATATTCAACAGCTTGACACAGCTATTTATAACTTACTTCTCATCTTCTTACCATTTTCTCAACACAGCTGTGCTTTTGCACATTTTCAAAAGAAGAAAAGTCTCCACTCCGTCCCTTCTTCAGGCTATCTGCAGAAAGTTTATGGCTTTTGGAGAATAGCACCTCTTAAATTTAAGTGCTTTTTACAGTCGCTGGAAAGGATGTTTTAAATACAGTCAATAACGTGTAAATTTTTAATGAGCCTTATAATTTTGAAAGCATACCGATCCCCCTCTTCGAATCTCACATGCCTCAGGCAGAAGGAGCAAGTTCATGTTGTGTACAAACAGAAAACACAAATCACCCCCCCCCCCCATCTCTAAGCACTGAGGAGTAGCTGCAGCATGTTGCATCATTATGGGACGCACAAGGTTGTTGCATCAAGGGAATTACGTTTCATTCAAATCGTTTGTTATTGTTTGCAGGAGGGAGGATGGGTCATCAGATGATAAAAAGTTTCTTTCAGTTTTTTTGCAGATTGAAAATATGCTATTTTTTTCTCTTTTCTCGATAGTGTTCACTTTTAATCTTTTTTGTTTTGTCATCATCATTTATTCTGAAGATCCCTTTAAACCCGCATGGATAATCAGTCTGTCATATTTTTTGGGTGATATAAACTTTCAGTCAGCAGCATTAGCTCTAATTTATGCTCTATCAGCTCATCACACTTGTCTTTGGAAAAATCGAAAACCTAAACATAAAATATGGAATTCTAACTAATGATTGTTTTTCATGGTTACTTGACAAATATTTATAGATGGCAATTGGTTTAATTTGCTCAAGTTTGTTGCAAACACCATTATATGGGTAGAACAAAGCACTGTGGTCACTTTATCTGCCCATGGTGGGGGCAGCTTCATGATGTGGGGAGTCTTTTCTTGAGCAGAGATTGGAAAGCTGTCAGTGTTGATGGGAAGATGGAGGCAGCTAGATATACATTTGTTGTCATTGGAAGGAACCTTATGCAATCTGCATAACTCGAGACATGAGTGGAGTTTTAAAGACCTTAAACCAGTGGTTCCCAAAGATTTTCTTCTGGGCCCCCCTTTGGATTACAATAAAAATTTCCACGCCCCCCATAACCCCCCCACCCCCACCCACCCCCGACACAAAATAAAAAATAATAGCAACTGGGCCCACACATCGTTCAACCACATATAATAAATCTATACACATATTTTGTCTTCAAACTCCACTGAAGTTTATTTCACACTTCAGGTTGCAACAAAACAAACTACACCAGCCTTACAATGGAACACTTTTGTGTAACTGTATTTTTTTCATAGTATTATACTGTAGATTAGAATAGGATTCTTTGTTGTCTGTGTTATTTTAAACATATTTCTTATTTTTATTATTTGTAACAATATTTAACTCTGCTATCATCAATACATTAAAAAAGCCTCTGTGCAAAATGGAGTGAAAACATTGAACGGCTCCCTGAGAGTTTTTTCTTTGTACTTTAATCCTTCCATCTTTTCAGTGGCTGTAGTGAGCCTGCTTGTTGCTGCAGATCTTCTCAAATCTGGGTTGCAGTGTCACAACTGTCCATTATGCTCAGTCAAGCAAGCGCTGTTTTTTTTTTTCTTCATTCATCCATACCGCTTCCCGCACCCCCCCTGCAATGGCATTGCGCCCCCCTTAGGGGGCGCGCCCCACACTTTGGGAACCACTGCCTTAAACATACAGATCTAAATTAGAATGGCTTACTGTAGATCAAAGCATTTTCATCTGTTAAAATGGCCAGTCAAAGTAAATATCTACAATCTGTGGCAAAATAGTTTCTCTCAGTTTGAATATTCCAAGTTGTAACTCCTAACTTCTGTTTGCAGTTCCTGGTCCTTCACCTTTTACAGAGTCAACAGTTAGCAGTGTATGGTAGGTAGGAAAGGACTGGCATGCTGAATCTGAACAGCCTCATCCTTATGGACTCCATTACTTTGCTAAATTTGTGTAACCTTTCTTTTTTGTTTTTGTTTTTTCTTTGCAAGGCTTTAATCCCAATTTGAAAAGTAATGAAACAGCTGATGCATTCCATTAGCATGTGTGACACAGAGTACCAGTGTAGCACTGTTGTATTTCTATTCATTTCCATGAGGTGGGCTGTGCCAATATGTTCTGTCATGCATTGGACTGTGGAAATCCTAATAGGCCCTAAGCAGAAAATAGGAACGTCAGGAGGTTCCAATTCAAAATTAAGTGTTCCCTTTTCCTACCTCCTTCCTTTCTGCTAGAAGTATTCGGACAGCTCTTATCATGGGGGCGGCTGATGCACTTGACTTTGGCTTAAGAGTCCTTAGGGATTTGATAAATTCCGATGGACCCTTAGATATTGATGTCAACCAAAATGTATCCAGTGTGTCTGAGCTCGAGGGTTATTAACAATAAAAGAATGACCAAAATGCTTGCCTTTAGATGCCGCTATTGAAAGTATTGACTCATACAGAGTGATTGTAGACGTATGCTACATTTTTAAAGTATCTTTTAGGAACCTTTGAAAACTTGAAGAATGTTCTTCCAACTTTGCAGCTATGCCCTGCTTTGTGTTTGTCTATTGCAATGTATCTAATAAAAAGGTCAAAATGAACTAAATAAAAATACTTTTTAGACATATACTTTTACAGTATATGACTTAGGGTTAAGCTAAAGTCTGAAATGATCATGGCAATGACTGTTGTTATCATAACATTGCTTGCAATGATGAGTTTAATAATCCAAATTTTTATATAGATATAAGTGAAGAGTTGCATTTAACTGAGACTAAACTCTTATCCTAATTTAGCTTGACATCAGCTACATGGCCTTCATCAGCAGTTTGTCTGCTCTGTCATGGCTTGTGTTCTGCTTTACAACTCTAGTGTTTATGTTGCATTTCGGCAGAAACAGTTGATCATTTGTATTTTGATTATTGGACTTTTCTTTGGACTACTAACGATGTATCTGTTAAGATACAAATACATTTTCTTCCTAAAGTATTTTTTATTTTTTTTGTATATATAATGTTGTAATTTGTCAAATAAAAAATAAATTAACACTGTTAATGAGGATTAAACTGTTTTGGTGCTGCTTATATGCCTTAAAGCTTGAAAACCAAAAACTGTGAAACATTTTGGCTTCTTTTTTTGATTTACCACAAACTGCTGCTTGACACTAACCTAAGGCTTCCTATTAAAACTGCACATACCATTGCTGCAGCCTGGTTCCAGCTGAGGTGGACCTGTCATGCTGCTTGTGTCTATTGGCCCCTACATGTTTACATAGGAGCCTATATTAAAATCCTGACATTTTCCACACACCAAACCGCTGATATGAAGCCGGCCTTAGGGTGGAGGCCTGGGAAGCTGTGTTTAGACCTTATGTTAAAGTCTCTTTATCAATTTTGCATACCTCATTTCAAACAGTCACCGCATCTGTTTTGATTCATTGCCGAAGCTCGATGTCAACCACTTTAGCTTGTTCTCTGTCAAGACACGGCGTATCGGCCACTCCTTGACTCTATAATGTAAAGACGCTGCACCATCCGGTCAGCGTTTTAATGTATCCTGTAAAGTATCTCCCTCCTTCTTCCTCCTGACCGGCCCTGCCATTTGTTCTCCTGATAAAACTGTCATTGCTGAGGCTGATATCTGACCTCTACACTGACTGCTGGCATAAATTAGCCTTGTCCTAATATTGCAATTTCTTTCACTTCACTCAGAATCAAGGTTTTTGAC